AAATGAAATCAAATATTGATAAAAGTCGGAAGTTTTGTGACAGTGAAAAGAGTACCTCAGAAGGATATAAGTCTTTCAAAAGTACGTAACTTTCTACGAGAGCTTTTCATAACGGTGCATTTACTACAAGAACGTTCTGTGCAAATGATAATAGTCATAAGTACATTAGGTCGAAAGTTACTGTACAGCTTTACATTATTCGTACGAAAGGTTATCTAAGCTTATAATTCCAATATTAGTAGCATTTATACATTTAATTTTGAAACCTTTTCCTTATGATACGAATCTGATAGAAACATTTATACAAATAATTTCGAAAGTACACCTAGTAGGATATATAATAGAACCTTACACTCTTAACTCATCTACTTTCATCTTACTTTTCAAACCATCCTGGCGATTCTGACAGAAACCATCTGTATATATAATCCCAAAGTTAAATATAGTACAGTACACCCTCACATTCTTATCAGCACGTGTAACAGATCTCACACAGCCATCCACGTTGTCCATCAAGTATACTATTCGCACAACCATTATTCTGCTATTCGCAGAACCATTCATGTCCACCAAGTATGCTATTTTCACAGCCATTCATGCCGCCCACCAAGTATGCTATTTTCACAGCCATTCATACCGCCCACCAAATATGCTATTTTCACAGCCATTCATGCCGCCCACCAAGTATGCTATTTTCACAGCCATTCATGCCGCCCACCAAGTATGCTATTTTCACAGCCATTCATGCCGCCCACCAAATATGCTATTCGCACAACCGTATGTTTCGTCCATCCTGTATGCTATTCGTACAACCACGAGATCGATGACTCATCAGCATCCCAGATCGACATCTAAGAAGGAGGGTTTCTCGCCTCTGTGCCTACGTGTGATACCGCCGAGAGCTAAATGAACCTGCCATTGACACTGTGTGATTTATTGCCTGCCGGGGAACCTACAGCAGGAACGCGGGGATCGATCATAACCCTCTAGAGTCGGGCAAATGTACACGTGTAATCACGATAAGTAGGGGAGAAAAAAGATCGTAGTTTTGTGTGGTTGTTGTAGCGTATTAGGAAATAAGGGGAAAGCACATTGTAACGAAGGCAGTGATTTGTGGATGAGAAGGTCTGCGTGAATTGTTATGTCGGGTTTTTTGATTAGTCGGTTTGTTAGGATTTCGTATCGAA